TGGATCTCAATTTGTAGGAGAGCAAGCTCAAACCGCTCTGGGCGTTAATCCTATACAAACTAGCCCTCGCCTCCATGTCTAGATAGAGATCAAGGGGCGTTGGGCATAGAAGTGCATTAAGAGCCGCTCGAGGCGATGATCGCATAGCTCCAGTTGCCATTAAGCAGGCAGCCCTTTGTAGACTGTTTAGTCCGTCCGCAGTCGTCTTTTGGTTGGCTTTGTTACACCAGACAATAGAAGCGTAGGTGAGAATCGGCCTCACTATGCTGCTGTACAGCCATAGGACCATACTGGGACGTAAGCCCCAGTTGTTCCCGACTAAACGACTGCACGTACCTAAAGCAATTTTTTCCTTATGGCATACGTTGCTAAGGTGAGAATTCCACGTTAGTTTTCGGTCGATTGTTACGCCAAATACTTAACTTCCGTCGAAAATGGTACTTCTTTGCCATTAAGTTTTGGTTGGACTAATGTTTCCAACCGTCTCTTTTTTGGTAAAGGGTATTATAACAGTTTTATCAGCATTAACTGATAAACTGTTATCCCTATGTTTATACGTTGTATACACCAGTTATTTATGGTGTTTAGGGCTCTTTGTATTATTGACGATAAAGTACTTTGGCAAAAGCCACTCGCAATGATCACAAGGTCATCAGCATATCCCAATGTGTCAATGCGTAGGTCTGCCATTTTGTAAAATAGTTGGTCAACCGCAAGAGTCCAAAGAAGGGGTGACAAAACACCTTGTGGGCAGCCTCTTGTGGTTGCAACCTCAATCGAAGTTTGAAACAGCGCTATTTTTGCCTTTCTGTTTGAGAGCATCGACTTCACCCATCTGATGGTTGTGGGGTCAACATTTTAATATGTGCCTAACATCCCCATCCCCAATCAGCAGCAAGTGATGTGGGGCTACTCTCGAAGGCGCCCTCAATATCTAAGAAAGGTAAAAATAGCTATTTCTTTATCCTCCAGTGCTTTTTCGACCCCGTCAATGACACTGATCAGGGCTGTTTCCGTAGATTTGCCTCTGCGGTAAGCATGCTGGTTGTAATGTATGGGTCTCTTAGCTAGAGCGACATTCCTTATATATCTATCTATAACCTTTTCCAATGTCTTAAGAAGAAAGGAAGATAGGCTTACAGGTCTAAAGGACTTTGGTAAAGCGTAGTCCTTTCTACCAGCCTTAGGTATAAATAGAACCTTAACAATTGTCCATCGTTCTGGAATATATCCCCATGCAAAACTTGCTCTGAAGATTTTCACCAGATAAGGAAGAAGTATATCGATACCCCTCTGTAGTTGGATGCGAATTATTCCATCCTCCTCGCTTGATTTAAATGGTTCAAAGGAGTCAACAGCCCACTGCACCAGGTTTGGCCTTATTATTCTTAGCCCTACGCCAGTCCTAATTGTAAGGCCTTCGTAGGGCTCTGAAAGAGTTCAAGGCTGAAGTCTTGTATGACCCTGGGAAATGGGTTGACGCTAGTAACTCCAATATTTCTGTTTCACTATTAGTGAAGTTACCATCCGGCTTTTTAAGAAGCCCGATCTGATTAGGTTTAGCTTTCGATAGCATCTTATGTAGTCTTGCACTGCGAGGCAAAGACTCAACTTTTTCGCATATTTTCCTCCACGATGCTCTCTTGGCTTTCCTGATTTCTTCATTATATTCAGTTAGGGCTGCACTATAAATACTCTTTGGTTTTCTTAGCCCTATTAAATAGTTTCCTGGTCTTTTCCCTAAGTTATTTTAGCTTAGAATTCCACCAAGAAACTTTTCGTGTTGAGGTCTTGGTTTTGACGGAACAACTATCCTCGAAGGCTTCACGGATACCTACGGTTACTGTCTCCGTCGCTAACTCCAGACCTTCAATTGTTTTGATGCTTTTAGGAAACGTTTCCAAATTCCTCCTTAGACTATTTCTGTAGATATCCGAGGAGGTCGCTTTCGGATCCCTAAAAGTAACGGTTTCAAAGGTTGGTGATGCTCCAATCACAAACTTAATGTGCTTGTGGTCAGACATCGAGTTTTCGCTACTAACATGCCAGTTATTTATCAGCCTGGACATGTTATTAGTAGCAAAGGTTATGTCTAACACTTCTTGCCTAGCACGCGTTACAAAGGTTGGTGTACAACCTAAGTTTAGGCTTACCAGGCGGTTGGAGATGAGAAAATCATAAAGTAACTCACCTCTTTCGTTGATTTTGGTGCTTTCCCAGGCTGTGTGGTGAGCATTAGCATCATAACCCACTACAAGTTCGGCGTTGTGTTTTCGGGCGAACTCCGCCACACGCTCTAACTCGATGGTAGGATTTGCGTTCTTGCCGGGAAGACAGGCTGAGCAAATGATTACTCTGGCTCCTGTGCATCCCTTGAGATTTATGAAGGTTGTAACCAGGTCATCATTGCAGTACTCTGGAACAGCCAAAAATTTCAATATTTTTATTATAAATTATACAAGCTCTGGGTCAGCTGCCTATGGTATTGACAAGAATCTTACCGGCAGCCGCCAATCCCAGAACTTGACCGTTGGCCACCCAAGGCTCTTGTATAAGGGAGAGGTCATTGTTGTCCTCTGCAAAGCAAACCTCAACCACGAAAGAGGCAGCTGCTGCATGGTGAAGATTTGCTTGGAGGAACCTCATCTTACCCTTGGGTTTAGCCATTTATGGGCGGGGGGGGGGGGGGGCAGGGGTCTTTCCGAGGACGAGGACGTCCTTTGCCTGCGAAGTTAACCCCCGCCTTATCTTTCGTCGAACCGCTCCCACCTCCCCTCCCCCCGGCCTGGAGGATACCAGCGGAGGCCGTCAGACCATGGCGAAATCTGCGCCTTGGGTCTTCGTCACTCTCACTGGTGGCGTTCCAGCCTCACCCCGAGAGGTGAAGGGCTGGGGGGATTGGGGTTGGGGTTGGGGCAGTTCGGGCCCCATTGCCGCGTCAGAGCCTCCCTTGACTTTAAAAGTTATCATATTAAAGCCAAGGATGATTCTGCCGCCTGCTATCCGAAGAGCCTCCGCCGATGGGTCGTCCAGAGAAAAGGTTACTAGGAACCCATTCTTGTCTTCCCTACAGTGGAAGATTCTCCAGAGCTCAGTATGGAGCCCTTCATTTTGTGCCCTCAACAGCACAGCCGCCTCCTCTGGAGAGTTGGCTTCGCTGCGGGGCAAGTAGGTAATGCCCAGCTGAGGCTTAGGCAGTTCGCCCTTGGGTATTACCGAGACCTCAGCCTCCGGCCAGGGCTTTAGTTTTCCAATTTCATCCCAATCCAGTCCTGGCTTGCCTTATTCAGGCACTTTACCAGAATCCAAAATGGCTTGTGTGTGAAACCCGAAAATTTTGAACCCATTCCCGGTTGCGACCCACAGGCCGTCTTAGCGATGGCCTGTGTTAGTGACCGGTGGACCAGCCGCATCTGCTCCACACTCACAGCATTCGAATTGCGAATTCCTATATGCACGGAGCCAGCTATATATTCAGCTTCAGTGCCGTAGCTGGCACTGAAGCTGAATATATATACATATCAAAAATATAAAAAAGTTTATACTTAATTATTTAATCATATATTTACATTTTTTTAATAAACATAAACATAAACACTCGCGCCTGTCACCCAGAGGGATAGGCAGAGACTACAGACTTCCATTTGGCACGATCCTTACACACCTCTCTCGCCTCCTTCACATCCATACACTTACGCATACATGCTCGTCGGTTAAGGGTACTCCTAATTTGGCCCGTTTTCAATAAACCGCCAATTTGGTCGATAAATTTTCGCCTAGGACGTGCCTTTCCGACTGCTGCCATTCGCTTCTGCAACATAAATTTTCTTTGTCACTCTTTCCTCATTCATTCTTTCCACATGACCAAACCACCGAAGCATTCCTTTCTTAATTCTGGTCACAACATCATCTTGCAAACCACACTCTTCTCTTATTACAAAATTTCTTCCCCTGTCGTTCAGATTCAGCCCTCCTTAACGATCGCATTTCTACTGCGTTGATTCTACTCTCGTGCTTCTTCTGCCACACCCAACTTTCACTACCATACGTTAAAGTAGGGACCAACACAGCATTGTGAATTGCCATACGTGCATTTTTTGACATATTTTGACTCTTTACAATAGAGTGCAGGGCCCGATTTACTCTATTTCCCGCTCTGTTTAATATTATGTTAAAAAAGAAATCCATGACAATAAATATTTTGCTCCAAACTTCATAGCTCGAAAATACTACTTTCTAATCTAATTGAAAAAATTGAAACTTGGAACAAATTGTAATTCATTAATTGGTAAGGTTAACCTTTAATTAGTGATGTGGTTTGGATGACTCATAAATGGTGATGTGATGTTTTATAGACGTTTACGCAATTTATGTCAATATTATGAACTTAATTATTAGACATTTTTTGTATAAAATCAAAATAGAAACCCTCTTTTTAATGATATAGGCTAAAATTAAACCCAATTTAAGCATTAATCAACATTTATTAGGACATTTGGCAAAAGTTACGAAAAAATCACATTCTATAAAAGACGCACTTCTTAAGTGTTATGAAATAAACAAACAGACTTATTTTTTAACAAAAAATAAAATTTCTTGCTTCTTCAACTTAATTACTAAAATAATATAGGAACTACCACAGAATCAGTCTTCTAAATTCAGTCTCAGTCAGTACAGTCGCTGCAGATTGTTTTAGAACAGCCTAAGCGTATAGGCTTATGACATGCAACGCATTTGTACCTTGTGCGTCGCTTCAGCCTTGCTGGACACACCTTACAAGTCTTTTTGTCATTTTCACCAACAGCTGACTCAATGCGGCTAGGTTCTGGCGGTAAATCTTCGCTAAGAATCCGTTTCATTGTCAGTCTTATATTCAAGTATTTTGTCAGTAATATCGTCATCCATAAAATGTCTCCACAGGGTTTCTAGGTTGGTGAATGCTCTAGACTGTGATCTAGGTATGTCAACCAAGTTGTGGCGTAGTGAACGACAGTTACGCATCACTGGTTCATCGCTTCACCATTTAAACCATTCATACCTATGTAGTATCTTTGGGATTCTGTGTGTATATTATCTTGTATTGAAGATAGACCTGAATCTTGCATCGCAACTGAACTGCGGGGTGATCTTTGTCGTTGAGATTGAGTTTCTTCATCCTCAGAATGTTCTGAAGCCGAGTCATGATCACTGTGCAAACAGAAATCTGGATCCACTTCTTGATCGTCCACATCACTAAAGTCTCGCTCCAACTTAGCCTCTATCCACTGACTTAAGGTCTTTTCATCATCCTCAGAATGTTCTGAAGCCGAGTCATGATCACTGTGCAAACAGAAATCTGGATCCACTTTTTCATCGTCCACATCACTGAAGTCTCGCTCCAACTCAGCCTCTATCCACTGACTTAAGGTCTTTTCATTTGTCGAAGTATTTAGAGCTACTCGCTTTCGCTATCGACTGTTTCCTGAAGGTCCAGGATTGATCCATCTAAAATAATAACGTACACAGTGAGGTGACGAATAAGAGACACTTAGAAAAAAATACTCTAATACTGTAGTGACGTCCAATAAATCATTTACGCAAATACTGATCTCACGTCTCAGGGACACCTAACGGTCGTACAGGTAGGTACAGGTGTTTCTGCCACGAGCGCGAGCACTCGACTGACCGATCACGCCACCGAAACCCAAAGGTAGCGGGAGGGGCGGGAGCGTTTTTAAAAAATTAACGCTACGAGACTGATTTTTGCATCGAGGCCGTCTGTGAGACACCCACGTCACTACTTAAAGGTTAAACCTCGGTCCCATGAATGTCATAAGAAGCGACAGAGGGAAATTAATATAGGTGTTTCGCAGCAGCATCTTCCTGATAAAAGCTCAAAATCTTGAAATGCGGTTGACTGACTCCATATCATCAACCGTATAACAGGAGACATGGATCTATTTTGTTGTAGGCTGAAAGATTTCATATTGAGAGCTCTCTTTGAAATAAACTATGCCCCTACTTTCACGTAGATATGGTGTTTGTAGGAGCAATAAGTACATATTTGTGATCGAAAATCATTAATTTGTAGCCGTGCAGATGTAGTGTGTAAAAATAGTTGTCTTCATTATTGCATTAGATGATAAGCATGTAAAGGTAATTGTATAGTGGGAAATAAATAAATAAATAAAAAAAGTTCAGCAGTAGACTTATCATCATTACAGTCCTTCACAAGTCCACTGCTGAATATAGACCTCACCCAAGGTATGGCACAAAGCACGTTTCTCAGCCATCTGCATTCATTGAGTTTCTGCACTTCGCCTACCGGTGGGAGGCTGCCACTCGAAAAACTTTTTCTTCAACCGTTGTAGTTCTTCGAGCTATATGGCCGGCCCATTGCACTTCAGTTTAATCAGTTGGGTTATATTGGTTACTCTGGTTCTACTGCAAATATCATCATTTTGAAGTTTACATGCAGGGAAACCCCGAGCATAGCCCTCTCAATAGCTTGCTGAGCGACCTTAAGCATCATCACATGGCCAGCAGTGAAGAAATACTTCTCAGTTTCATAGGTCATTACTGGCAACACGCACTGGTTGTAGAGTATCGTTTTCAGGTTTTGAGGTATACTTGTCGAGAAGATGTGTCGTAATTACCCGAACGTTTCCCAGCCGAGTTGAATCCATCGAATGACCTTTCAGTCGAAGTTGGACTTACCTAGTCGGACTATTTATCCAACAACTACCGTCATAGTTTTGACATGGACATTAAACTTGATCTTTGTTTTGTCCATGTTCATCTTAAGACCTATCCATTGGGAGATACTATTGAGGTTATTGAGCATAGTCCTTAGGTCTTCCAGCAATTCCGCCATATTGTCGGCAAAGCGAAATTATATGTATATATATATATGTATGTATATATATATATATATTTGTTTTAAAAAATCATTTTTAAATTTTTAGCTGATGAAATAAAAAACAAAGTCACGGACTTCATAACGGCTACGCAAATCGAGCATTTACTTTAATCCCTCTTTTTGTTGTGTGGGCAAAACTATCGATTCTTGGAAATTCAAGGTAAATATCAACATTAATTTTGATATACTTGAGTCAATCTCTAGCGTACAGGTAAAATATTATGTTTAAAATGAATTCACCAAAATCATACAAATTATGAACAACGTGACTTTTTATTTTCAGAATATCAAAATTACTGAAATAGTTGAAACATTTCTATATTTTAAACAGTATATAACATAAATTTTATCCAAAAATAGAAGCGTCGTCGTGGTAATTGGCCACGAAACCATGGATAAGTTATTTTTGGCATCATGTCAGTGTAGAGAAACGGACAAACTTTTTACTAGAAACACATTGAAGTAATATGTACTTACGTACTAGAACAGCTATTTCAAACAAAAAATGTGCGCTACTCTGTGTTCGCGCGGTTAGATTGTTAAATATGTAAATGATATCGATAACAATATTTAAATTTTGTCACTTATTTTGTATATTATATTTGCTTATTTAATATAATGTTCCATGATATTATATCACAATTACATTTTAATAATATTTTTATCTGAATATTTTATAAGGTCAAATATAAAAAACATATAATGATTTCTTAAATTTACGCGAACACTACACATTGAATAAAACTATTATTTACGGATTTTATCGCGTTTAATTACTTTAATTTATTTTTATTATTATCCCGACGTTTCGGGTGCTTTACAGCGCCCATGGTCACGGGGGGGACTGAGATGTTTGACGTCCCAATGTCATAGTTAGTCCGGCTACCTTCAGTTTTTTAATTAATATTAAAAAACCAAAACCAAAAATTAATATTAAAAAACTGAAGGTAGCCGGACTAACTATGACATTGGGACGTCAAACATCTCAGTCCCCCCGTGACCATGGGCGCTGTAAAGCACCCGAAACGTCGGGATAATAATAAAAATAAATTAAAGTAATTAAACGCGATAAAATCCGTAAAAAACATACTAAATGTATGTTTAACAAAACTTATTAACATAACATTTAAATTACAAATATATTTATTTAAATTAGATTAAATGTCGTTCATAAATGCTGGGCATGCGAGAGTTAAAAATGGACGAATTTATTTCATTTTGACTTTGATGTGGAAACCTAAAAATAAAATAAAAAATAATAAGCCGATTTAAACATGAAAAATTTTACCAAATTATTATAACTTATATATTTTTCTACAAAAAAGATGTGTATAATAATATATTCGTCCTATACTTAAGTACCCATAGAAATGTCGCATTTGAACATATTAATTTTATAATCTATACTCCCTGACACGAGATGGCGTCTTAGGAATAATTTGTTTTATTATTAATACATAATACTTTTTATTGATTAAGTATCTTATTAACCGATGAAAAGTAATTTCTTGGTTTTTACTGACATTTCTTGAATTATTTGTGCAATATCTAAGTACACACGACGGCATATTTTTATCAAGAGATTTTTTTAAATCAACACAACACGTGACAACTCCTTATGCGCCTAGCGAGTGACTGATTAAAGGGCGGTGTATGCACCGCAGTTAAGTGGAACAGAGTAGCTGAATGCAGTGTCGCCTCTAGTATATAGTACATAATAGCTCAATGTAGAAACATTCCAACATAATCATCTGGGGTGGAAACGTATCGGCATTTTGATTCTTAATTGAGTATATTATGTAGATAGACATTTGATTAATAGGGATAGTTGGAAGCACACAGTTCAAATTGTGATATTATTGTAGCACTTATTCTAGAAAAAAATATCAATATTCCCTAAACATAGCTCAATTATCAAGTATTTCCATAATTACAAACCATTGTAATATTGAAACCAATATTAAAATTCAGAATTCGACTACGTACTATAAATAAAAAGTTCACATTTCGGAGTCAGAGAAACCTTCTCAAAAGACCGGATCTAATTCTTTAATTATAAAATGTAAATTCTGCGAAATCAGTGATAGCAATCGAAGCGCCCTGAGGGACGTTTATGAGGTGGAAAGTTGATGAAGCACTAAACAGTTTTATTGAAATGGTGAGGGATTTAGGTTACGGTATTTTATGTGGAAGACGTGATGAGTTTCGTTCTGATTAATAGCACTTGCGAATTCCTTAATTTAAAACGTTTTCATTCTTTATTTCTTATTTTTATATCCATTTCACTTTAACTTGTGAAAACGTGACGTTATGAGTAAGGTCAGATTGTTTTTTTATATATAAAGAGGGTGACAAACGAGCACACAGTTCGCCTGATGGTAAGTGGATGCTGTGGCTCATAGACATCTACATTTATCCTCGATTAAAAATCAAAACGCAGATTCGATGTCACCCCTGAGGGCTAAGACGAAATACCTCATTTCCAGTAAAAATTGGTCTCCGGATCTTTACACTCACCATACTAAACACAGCAGTATTAAGCTGCTATTTTACGCTGGTATTCTGTGAGAACGTGGTCCTTCCCCGGTCGAGCCGACCCATTCATGCTACAACCATGATATAGCTGCAGCGTGGCTCTACCACGTAATAATTGATTGATTGATTGTTAAATCATCAGACAAATAAAGGTTAAAATTACAGCCTAAATACATCTCCCTGCAAGGCACAGGCCTCCTCTCACTTCTGAGAGGGTTTTAATGTAAGGAAATGTCCAACGCGCTGACTTAATGCGTGTTGGTGAACTTCACATGTGTTTTGAAATATTTTGTTCATATTTCTCAGGATTCACGATGGTTTCCTTCACCACCAAGCAATAGTAAGTGGTAAATCCGCACTTAAAATTGCAATTAACAATTTTTTAACCTACGGAGATCAATCACCGGTTGCTTGCGTACTATGAAATTTACAGAGAGCACTTAGCCACTGAGCTACCACGGCAATCATAAGACAAGGTTATGCTTATTTAATTATAATCTCGCTATAAATAAGAGGTTTTCAATTAAACTGTTTTATTCATAAAGTTGTAATTATGAATTTTTTTAAGTTGTACTTTATCCGGATCGTACAGTGGCGGTGTAAGAATATTTTTTTCTTAGTTTGATTTTTTTATTAAGACAACCATAAATCACTAATGATCTGGTCTAAAAACTTAATCTAGCGTTATGATCGAAAATTCGCTTTAGAAATCCTGCGATTCAAAATATTTTTTCTCATATTTCTCAGACGTGCAGTTTTCCTCAAATTGTTTTCCTTCGCTGCCGAAGACGTGGTAAATAAGCAATTAAAATTGCAATTAACAATTTTATTGCTTTAAAGCCGATTCACTCGCGTACTGTGAAATTTACAACGACCGCTTAGCCTCGGAGCTACCACGACTCATATTGAATATTTATAAAATAAATATAAACTAAAATGAAAACAAATAATTTTTTCACAAAG